AATAACCATCCATTTGTAGTTTTAGTCAATTAATAATTTCAGTAAGGGTGTTCTACATCGACCGAAATGAATGGTAGTTTGAAGGGGTAAGAACTGAGGTGGGTAAGACAAAACTTTCCAGTCGCACTTTTCCAAATGGTTTTTAACCGGTCTTGCAACATATGATCGAGCGTTATCATGATGGAAAATTATTGACTCGTGTTTAGTCGCCAATTCTATGCATTTTTAGACCAACGCTGATTTTGCTGACTCCCAAAGATTCTGTAAGCTCGTCTTGTTCAGTTCCTCATCTTCAAAATTTTTTTAATTAAGTAAAATCATATCCAAAAATATCCAACAACATCCAAATTTAAGGGAGTCGTAAAGGGCTTTAATTTAGCGCCAAACCCTTCGCTGATATCAGAAATAATGATGATCATGGATATGGAACATATCTTCTCGCGAGTTTATCGTGACGATAGGACAATTTTGTCATAAAAGCTATATAAATGGAAGTTGTCTTAACTTCATTACGAATATTAAATTTCGACAAAGCATATTTTACTTTGCTTGTAATACTATGTATATGACACATTCAGTAGCATCAGCTCTGAACCGTCATAGTGCCAACACTTGGTTCGCCAGTTTGTAGCCTGTAGGCCTTTGCGCCTGCGCATTATAACTTATGAATATGCAAATATCTATGCATATAGAATATACCGTTTCACATGTTCATGTAAGTATTTGTTTTAACACTACCTCTCGGTTGTAAACTCGTTTAATGATTTGCTCTTTTTCTTACTGTCGCAATCACAACGTTTTAATTTTAATTTTATTTATTTACTTTTATATACCTATAAATATATATCCATGTATATTTTGCGATTGTTATTGTTGTGCATGTTGTCTACCATTACACCAACGCGGTGAAAAACTTTCCAAAAACCCATTGCATAGATCAGCTGGTGATAAAAGTCAGTGCAAAGCAAATGCGAACCGCAGCGCTGGCGCAAGTGAACTCGTTCGCACACAATTCATGCTTCTTTCGTCACGAAAAAGTTTCTAAAACATTAAAGCGAGCACAACAACAACAGCAATAAAGTTTAACAAAAAGGTGTAAAAATAAAAGTCGCAAAATATTCAAGAAAAAAAATTCGCAGTCAAAATGCTAACTAAATAGTAAAATGAGCAAAAGAAAAATCGTGTTAAATTCGCTATACTACCTACTAGTCGCCTTAAAGAGGGCCCTCTAAAATAAGACTGTAGGTAGGCAGCGAGTTTGCGCGCACCAGTCCCAGTTCCTACTCTAGCTATGGCTGTAGCTTACGTATGCTGCCGCTGCCAAATTACGAGCAAATCGCTTGTTTGCGCAAGCAGCCCGTAAGCGATAGCAAGCGATGCGTGCATTTTAACGGCGCCGTGGCCCATTTGAAGCGCCGCCTCCTGCTCCTACACCTCGCTTGGGGCTGCGCGTGTTGCTGCTGCGGCTGTCCGTAACGGCTGCCGTCTGCTTCTACACGACTGATGTGTCGTCAACACGTGAATTTTGCATTATTTGCTTTGATTTCCAGCCAGCCTTTTTCGGTGCTGATGATCTAATTTGGCAACAATTGTCGTCGTGGCGCACACCACCGCTCAGCGCCACACTCTTGCCGCAACCGCGCACCAGCTCAGCTCCACCTAGCTGGTTGTTTATGCACTGTTGATCTTCCCCATTGAGATTTGTGATCTGAAACACATGTGCCAATTTTTATGAGCATTATTCGATCTTTTTGTATAACTCACATTCATGTGTGTTTATTTTTAAGTTACTTTATTCTTTTTTCTTAAATATTTCTTGATAATCCTTGCATACATTTCGATAATGAGTTTAGCGCACCTCTTTTATGAGTATTTATGAGCATTTCAATAACATTTACATCACTAATTTTACACAGTGGCGTACCGAAAGTAGGTGTCCAATGAAGAATAATAGAATAGACATTACGGGAACTTTGTCCCTTTCCTTTTTTTTTGAAACATTCATACATAGATGTAGTTTTGATTGCTTGATTTAGAAATAGGGGATGATTTTACATCTATTTCAAGAGCGCTTTCGTTTTATGTGATGTGTTGCCTACATTTAGGGTTGGGTTGGATTAAGTAACAATCATCACACGACAAATAGTTAACAAATGATGGGAATTTCTATAATTTTTGATCTTGTATCTCTTAATATATTCTATAGGAAAACAATCTTATAACCTTTAACGTGGAAGGACATATTTTTTACGAGATAATAATTCTATTGTACTGTGAATCGTGTTCGTAATTCTAATGGCAAACTGATTAATCAAATCTTCAAGTGTTGTCAATCTGTTCTCCACATAGCCTTTCATATAAAGAAAGCTTGCGGATGAAATGTTTAGAAAAAGCTGAGAACTTGTATCTTTGTCTATTGAGAAGCCTGGGCTTCGAAGAAATTTTTATGCATTCCAAAACCTTTACAAAAACTTCTGTATAAATTTTCCTCCGTACATATTATTAGCGGCATGCCGTCTTTTAGCATGTTGCAAACATCAAAATCTGCTAAATTTATGTAAAGAAGAAAAATGTAGGTGGCTTACTAATGATAACTTTCAGTGGAGCCAACTGGATCTAAAAAATTTTCATATTTGATTTTTAAATGCTCCGAAAATTGTACTGAAGACTTTTTTTGTCAGAACTGGAAAAGCTCTTGCATGGGAAATTCAATGTCAAATTATTAGGCACTGCTATACACTCAGTAATAATTAAGCTGGAGATTATGACAATTTCGTCCTCCAACTTTTATTGGCGTGCGTTTCACAGAAAATGAAGTTTATTTTATTATATGTGGCGAGCTTCGTCTTGTACTCTATCATTCTAAGGATACACCCGCGAATCGTAGAAATATGATTTTCGACAATTTCCTTCCGTCGCCTATCAAAGAGACCATTTGACAGAATTAATAGATTAATGCATGACGTCAGAAATAAAATTTGATAGTTCGTGCCATTAGTGACGTAGCTTGTCGCAAGTCTGTTATTATATATAGTACAATACTACTGATATCTTAAATCTATAAATGTATGTTATATTGTCCCTTGTTTGCCTCTCAGCCTGAGGCCACACAGCTGGTATGTGCTGTATTTGCCGTATTCACTGTTGACTGATCGCTGCGGTTGTCATGCATCATCAAGCTCTCCACGCTGCGTTGTAGTTGTAAATAGAAATATGTTAAGCTTAATTTTCGATTTCAGCACCCAAGTGTATTGAACCGTAATTTACGCTATTTGCATGACAGTATTCTATAATATACAAATTTGCATAAACTCTTATGAATATTTTGGGTTGTTATAAAATATTTGGGTGAGTTCGGCAACAAATGTCCCTGAATTCCAGATACGCATGTGTAATACAGACTTGTTGGTGTTAGAGTTTTCTATTGAATAATAATGTATATAGAATATAGAAAGGACATACTTTTTTTGTTTGATATAAAATCGTACGATATATTACGATGACGACAATAAAACCCTCTAAAAGTTTGTTAAATTAGAGAAAGAAGTAAATCTCCGCTAACTTGTAAGGACTAACACACTTTTATGTGCGGCCGTTAACGCAAGGCAAGCCGCTAGGCACCCTTACGTCAAATCTTGTATTAGCTCGCTAACTAACTGAACAAAGACAACTGAGTAGCCAGTCGACCACTTTGCCGTATTATTTATTACTACTCTCTACAAAATATTAAAGTAGCTTTATTCGACCTAAGTTAATATGGATAATTTTGGTACTTCTGAACAATACGGGTATTTTGGGCAATGTAGAGTAATTTCACGATAATTTAAATATATAAAGTTTCAAATAAATATAAAACACATATGACAGTTATGTCCTGCTACTAAAAAAAAAAATAACTATTTCAGCGTAAGTCGCCTAAAGTTATTTTAGCATGCTCATACATACTTTGAACTACATATGTGTGAATATATAGAATACTTACAAAATCTTAGAATCTTACAGATTTTTATTTGCTTTGAGGATATGAGTCACTTAACGTAATATTTAGGTTGCATATTGTGCGACCTCAACACCAAATATATGGTTACATACTGCATCATATATACTCACACATATATACATATATATATTTGTTAGAGCTTAGAACCTAAGAAAACAACACTTAAGCAGGCTGTTGTGGAACAATAGAGATGACTGATATTGTAGCATAATATAATATTATATTAAATATTACATATACTTATTTAAGAACTATTTTGTAATGGTAAAAAAACTAAAAGCCAGAAATTAAGCTTTCTCTGCGGAAAATATTTATAGACATAATCTGCAAAGTCGCATGATTTTTAGTCATCTGATGTGTAATTCACTATTTTCAATACTTTAAAGTAATTTTGATATGCTTTCAAAGAAATATATAGACATTCGATTTGTTTGAAATCGAACGAATTCTATATCTAATATTATTTATGATGATGATGCTAATTTTTTAAAAAACGAAAAAGCTAAAACTCCCAACTTGTTAAGTTCACAAAGCCACTAAGAGCAAAACTCGCCAAAGCCTGCTTGAATAAAAACTCGTGTTTTCTTTTTTTTTATATTTTCTTGTGTATTTTTTAAATATTTGCATAATACGCCTCAACCCTTCTTCAATAAATAATTTGTTTGCACTTCTGCACTAAAAATATTTCTTATAAAAATAAGTATTGCTTAAATGCAACTAATGGCTAACTACTATGTATATGTATATGTAATTACGTAGGTGTATAGGTATGAAGAAAAGTTTTTACAAAAATTTATATATAGTTGTAAATATATATAAAAAATATTTATGCTTAATTTATAAACTTTTTTTCCGCAAAATGCTGTCCATTTGAGAAAATTTTGTTTTACAATTTTTGACTAAAACTAGAAAAAAGCTAAGACTACTAATTACAAGTTTTGCCTATTACTAATATTTTTTTTTTACAAAATATACAAACCTTATAAGAGATATTTAATTCTTTTTTTTATAAAAAAGTAGTTTCGAGCTTTTATAATTGAGCTTACATACATGTGTATGCATATAGTGTATAAAGTAGTAGTTGAGATTGTATTTGTGGTAAATGCAAGGCCTGTTTACAATAGTTTGTTGTTTTGTTAACTGTTAGTAGTAAATTTGTTGTTGTTTTTTTTTTAACAAAGTTAGTTAATGTTTTTGAGCTGACTAGAGGTATTGAAATATGTGTTGCCGTTTTGAATATTTGTGCTAAACTTTTGGGCTAACAATGCGCACACTGGGTCTTATATGCTTATATATTTGTAAGGTACTCATTTTAAATGAAGATTGCTTAGACGCGCTGGATGTAATAAGAGCAGTAGCTATTTTGTTTCTCTGTTGTTTGCTGATGGTTGGTGGGTTACGAACTAGGAACTAATTTTTGGTGGTACATGGCAAACTCGGCTTCGCCGCGCAGCTTACACATTACTTCGCGCTTCTGCATGCGCTTTAGTGCTCAACGTATACGGGATAATTGTGCAACTCATGCGCAGATGCAACCGAATCGGACGCCATTGCGCTGGCACAACTGCTGCCGCTACTGCTGTTGGCGCCCGGGCAGCCGCCCTCCGAGTGCTTCGTCAGCAGCGACATGCGCGAGAAGGTTTTCGAGCAATTGCCACAGGAGTACTTCTTGATGTCGGAGTGCGTCTGCAGATGAGCGCGCAGATTTGAGCGATCGGCAAAGGCGCGATGGCAATGCTGACAACTGAAGGGCTTCTCACCGGTGTGTGTGCGTATGTGACCCTGCAGCAGCCAGGGACGTGAGAACGCTTTGCCGCAGATGTTGCACTTGCAGGGGAGGGTGTGTGTGCGTATATGCATTTTGAGCGCGCCCAACGAGACGTAAGTCTTGTCGCAATCCTTGCAGCTAAACGATTTCTTTACTTGATTGCCCTCGGCGGCAGGACAGTGGAATTGCTGGTGTTTGGTGAGACCGGAAAAGGTAGAGTAGGACTTCTGACAATCGGGACACTGATAGCGCGGCGGCGCAGACTTATCCTTCTTTGTGGTGGGCGTGCTAGGCGCAGAGTTGTTTTGGCTGGCGCATAACTCGCGCTTTTCACCATTCAATGTTGGCTTTTGTGGCGTCTTCTGTAGCGCGCTGTGCTTCAATGACAAATCCTCAGGCAGTGAGGAGCAGTGTGGCTCTGGTGTCATGGACCGCATGGAGTAGTACGAGGATTCGGAGTAAGTGGGTGATATGGGCGCATGCGGATGATGATGATAGCTGAGCGCAGGTGGATAAGCGGCTGCTTGATGTGGTGTGTGTGGCGCATGATAGGCAGCTGGTAGCGGGTATGGCATGAAGCGGTGCGTATGCTGTGAGGGTGATTGTGGCAGCTGGCGTACACCAATTGGCCGATGTATGATTTCGGAGCGCACTGGTGGCGATACGGAATTGGCGCGTCCATGCAGGTAATGTGGTGGTGGCGATAATGAACCCAGCGAATCGGCTGATGGTGAACTTGGCGAAAGCAGATCACCACGCAGCGGTGAAATCTGTTGCGCCAAGTGCGGGTGATTGATTGTGCGGTAGAACTCAGCGGTATACGGAGACATGTGGAAGTTCCATGGCTGTAAGCCATATTTAGCATATGTGGGCTTAGGCACAACAACGGCGGCAGCAGCAACAGCTGCAGCGGCAGCTAACGCAGCGGCTTGTGTAGTATTTGCAGTTGCATCAGTTTGTTCCTCAATTTCAACACAATCAATGATTTCCTCCTCATCGTCCTCGTCCAACATATCCATGGACGCATCGTCATCGGTATGATCGACATCAACGCCCTCATCCTCGCAGCTATCGCTCACATTAATTAGCTCGTCGTGTGTGCTGCGCACCGCTGTGGCACTTGGTTGGGATACAAACTCGTCTATGTCGTAGGCGCGTTTTTTGAGACTCAAATTTTCGGGCTGATCTGTAAGATCGTCTGCGCCAAGTTTGGCTGCAGACACTTTTGCATCCACAATATCTGTTGAGTTGTCCTCTTCGAACTGATAGTTGATAGGACGCTTCTTCAAAGGACATTTACTGTAGTTTTTCTCGCCCAACATATCTTCGACTGTATGCATTTTGTTGGTTTTATTTAACTTTCTTTGTAACTTTACTTTAGTTTTGCACTTAGCAGTGTTTATAAGTTTTTTTTTATTATTTTTTGAGTTTTAGTTTTTATTTTTCAAATTAAATGTGCACATTTTCAAAGGAAATTTTATTTTATTTGCTTGCAAACACTTAAACGCGCTTACGCGTCTTCACTTTAGATATGCGCAGTATTAACTACCACTCAATATACGTTGCGATCGTTTACCGAACACCGACTGATCACGGTTTGAATTCTGTTTCTTAGTCAGTTTTTGTTTTTGCTTTCCAATTAAGTACCAAAACGTGGTATGCTAAGCGTTCAGTGGAACACAAACAAACTCTAGCAGCAGCAACGAAGAACTGTGCTGAGCCGCCGCGTATCCTCGCTTTTATACGCAGCACGCTCAATCCACTCTCATCCCAGCCTGCGGCGTCCAATAGTGGTGGCTGCAAGCGCTCTCCAATTTTCGAGCTGGGTCTCGCGCTCAAGCAGCGTCGGCAGAGTGAAATACAGTGCGTGCTCATAGAACTGAGCTGAGCGCATATACATGCGGACCATGGTGAGCGCACATCTAACTGGAGTATAGTAACTGGTGTAAAGTAACTGGCTCTCCGCAATGTTTCCACACCACCAGCCATCCAACTAAACTCACAACGCACACAAGCGTTCACACCACTAATAACACCATGGTTAGCTGGTAGCTGGCAGTCAGCAGCCGGCAGCAACAACAATTGACTAAACAGTCGCGCAACCACCAATCGTCGCCGCTTCTAAAGCCGTTATGTGAAAACCTGTTTTCAACAAACTGTATGCACGGCTAGCCAGAGCTATTGAAGCATTGGCTGTGTTTGCCACTACGTCTGGCTTGGGTGGCTCTGACTCTGGCCGCGTGCCGCGGATGGTCAGACAACAAAACAATTCACTAACACAACTACATGCGCGCTGCATTAGTAGATGACATGTGTGTATGCGTCGCTTGCGCCAATCAGATTGTTAGACAATACATTAAAATTAATATGATACTTGTGCATTGTTGTTGCTGCCGCACGCATCCAGATATGAACGAAGACACGTATAGCGCCAGGTCTATATATAAACAAACGTTTTGACTCTTCTCAGCATTATGCGCTCTTAAAAACTAATCAGATGCATGCTACATTGTGTGCGCGCTCTTGCAGCAACTGTTCGCTCGCCAGTCCAGCCAACCCTCATTAGCGCGTAGCTAACTTATGCCATATGCATTAATTTACATATATTTACATAGATGTTTTGTTTTTGTTTTGTTGCGCATGAGCGCCTCGCGTAGGTGCTCTTTGGAAGCGTTTTGTGCTGCAAGGATCTGCGGTGAGCGGCTTAGTGCTTGTGTGCATGTAGGTGTAGAGTTGACAAGCAACTCGCGCATGCGACTCGTTCAGCTGGCTGCTGGTGCTCATAGGCACCTGGGCACTGGCGTAAAATTGCTTGTTGGAGCAGTCTAAAAATAACTGCGCTTAGCGGCAGGCAGGTGTTGCTCAATGCGGTGCGGCACTCGTTCGCTGGCTGTTATTCGTTGCTGGCGCTCGTATTGTATGGCTGCGAGTTCGAACCGATCGGATGCGTTAGTGATAGAGGAAATTGCTGAATTTTAGATTCAATTTTTTTTTTTTATAATTTTAAAAAATTAAATATTTTTTTCTCTTTTGTTTTTTTTTTCTTTGTGTTTTCCTTTGGTAGGCATTGATATTTGCGGACAATATCTCGTAAACGCTTAACTTAATGGAAAAATGATTTGGACAATTTTTGTAGAGCAGAAAATTTCCTACAAGATAAAATGCAATTTTAAACGATTTTTTTTTATTGTGTTATAAAATACAAAAGGAAAAAAAAAACACATTTGTTTTAAAATAGTCAGACTTCAACCGTTAATATCTTTTAAACGCTCAGGTTTATGGAAGACCCGTAGGAGACCAGTTTATAAAGCATAAAATTTTCTACAAAATCTTAAAACGAGATTTTTTTTAAGTAGTTGGATGCGAAATGTAAACTTTTTTTTGATAATAAGAAAAAAATAGAAAGACGTTAAGCGGAGGACCGTCCCGTTACAATTAAGAGCTTATACTTGGAGCGCCTTTCTTAGAGGTGTCTATCAACCAATTTTTTAGAGTACGAAGCGATCCTAATGTAGATATTTCTATAGTTAATCTCTCCGACATTTGTCGTTTTGCTTTGTTTGAGCATTGCAAAAAATTTAATAGAAATAAAAATAAATATTATATAAAAGTTAATAGAATAGAAAATGTCCTTTGGTAATATGTATGTATTATTTACCTTTTACCACTAACGAAAATAATTCCCCTTAACTCAGATAAAGAATTTTTTAATTATAACCTAAATTATTTAAGCTCTTAATGTTAAAATTTATTTATTTTCAAATAAATCAGTACTTATATATGTACGTACATACATGATGATTTTCACCCATATTGACATTTATAATTCTGTTTTTTTTACTAGCGGGACCATAAACATTTTTTTTTTGATTTTTCAATTATATTTAACATTTTATTTTTAAGCATTTAATTTTGTATAAATAAAACATTTATTTTTAATAAATGGAATGAAGGCCTATGTAGCGAGTTCCCTTAGTCTCCTAATCTGTCTGTAAATTTGTTTACAGGTCATACTGAAATGAAATGAAAAAAGAAATATTTCTAATAAATTTTTTTTATCGTACACACAATTTTTTAACTTTTTAGAAGAAAAAACATAAATTTTACATTGGCTAAAGTTTTTGAAAACTATAGGTATATACTACTAAACACTTTTTTTTAGTTTCAATAAAGGAACTTAATATTTTTATATGTGTTAGTTCATATTAAATCTGATTTAATAATTTATTAAAAAAAATTGCCTGTAAAAAAATTTAAGATACAAATCACCGACGAAAATTTGTTTTTTTTTTAAAATACAATTTATCGTAAAGTGCTAGGAGTTAGTTTGGAAAACTAAATGCAATATCAAATATTTATTATAAAATGCGCTATGCAAATTTTACTTCTTAACTAAAAGTAATCCTATCGTTATTAGAAGTTATATAATACATATAATATCATTGATTTAGATTTTAAAGATTGTTTAGAGTATTAAAAATCTAATTACTGTCTTAATATTTGTATAATAATATGAAAATGAGATCTACTTGGCTAATTAAAAAAAAAAAATAGCGTCTGTGTTGCAAAATTTTCAACAAAATATTTAGAGAAAAAATGTATTTTGATGTCGTTTTATGTTTAAAAAACGATATAACTAATTAGTTAATATAAAAAATAGTTAATGGAAAACATAATTAAATAAACCAAAAAAACATAATTACATTGCAATATTTTAAGTACATAGTAAGTATTATTTTCTTACTAAGAAACTGAAGTTTTATTAATAGTAATTTCTTAAAACTTTTTGTGTTTGTTGATTTGAATGTTAGCAAATTCGTAAGTCATAATAATAATATTATAGTTTATTATCTACTTCTATATTATATACTAAATATATAGTATTTACAACTTCTCTTTTTACACCAAACTCTTTTCTCTTCTGCAATGTCAGTACTTGTTCGAATTCCACTGTTCCCGAAATGAAAACTCTTTGTCAACACATTTCCAGTGGGTTTTCTCTCTTTATAATTTCGCGTTCTCTTGTCTATTCATAATGTAACTCTTTGGTTGTGGCTCTTCTTTTGCTCACCGTACCATATAGCATTTTATATACTATAAGTATGTATATAAAATAGCACATAATAATACAATTTTAATAAATCAGCATTTTTTTTAAAATAATTTATGTTTACATCTGCATATACTCCCTAAATGTTTATTAAAATATCTGGGTATTATTTAAAGCTGTCAGAAATGTAATTTTGTCGACGCTTGTTGCTTTTAAATGGATAGTTGAGGTATGAGCTTGATGTCTTAGTCACCTAGTCTAGTAGTATTTTCTGAATAGCGAATGAGTTATGCTGATTTATGTATGTAATTGTTCTCTCGATTAATATTTCACAATATTGTTAAAAAAATTTCATGTTTTTTTATTTTTTATTGGCTAAGAAACTCTAAAGTCGATAAAATAAAGGTGTAATACTCTATTTCTAAATAGTTCTGGAGTTCTTAAAAATAAAAAACTCAATATTTAATAGAAATACCGCTGCAAAACTGTAGAAAACGTCTCTATTTCATTAAAGTACGCCGAAAAGCTTCGTTCACACCTTATAAGCTTTCTTATTTAAATTTAGTCCAGCGTATGAGGTCCGTCTTAGTTAACAATCTTTCAAAGCACATATTTTTTTCACAAAACTAATACCGGATATGAGTCACTGGAAGAAGTAGCGATAGTGAGTCCACACAGTTCATTGAAATTTGCGTCAAGCGCAGGCATCCTAAAAGCTGACTACTCCTCATGGACTTCGTAGCGGAGCTCCAACCGGTGTCGCAAAGGACTTTTCTTTTGCGTGACCCATTAGCATACTAGACTAACCTAACCGAACTTAATACCGAAAAAAGTTTGTAAAAACCTTATCACCTTTAGAATATTTTCTGAATCTTAAAATATGACCCCGCGATGACTTAAATATACAATACTTAAAAAATACGCTAAAGGAACCGAAAGTGAACAGTGCAAGTTTATATTTATGATCTAGATAGTAAATTCGATTTCAGCATACTATTCAAAAAAATCTAACAAATTTTTTAATATTTTAGGAAACTTCATTAGCAAGCGGATGAGCTTTTCGAAAATAAGCAAGCATTCTTCTATCACGACTTGCATCCATTTTTATACCCTGAACAGGGTATATTAAGTTTGCCACGAAATTTGTAACAGCAAGAAGGAAACGTCGGATAATTAAAGATGTGTAACCAGGCTTTTATATCTTACGATTTGACTCTTTTCAATTGTGGCTAGTGTGGTGAATGTTCTAAGCATTAAAAATATTTGAACCAGTCCTTTTTCAAACCTCATTGCAGTATTAATTTAATCGACTAATATTTATGCGATATTATGCTATTTTCTAAGCTAAAATATACTTGTATATGTATCCTAACCTCCTATATAGCCGTTGTGTGTGTTGTGGATATGTGTTTTTATATAATTTTCATATTTCACTTCTTTTCCGTGTTAAAATTATCATCTTTGCCCTCCAATTCATAACTTACACCCGCCTACACCAACCAATTGAAAACCCTGAAATTAAAATTTTATTTCCTCACTTTCCGTTGCAGTTGTTCCGTTTTCCAACGCACAACAAACACGCATTCAATGTGGCACCTTCACATCCATTTCTGCAGTGCTGCTCTTCTAAGGTTACACAACAAATAGGAAGATGCAAA